AAGCTTTAAATTTATAGCTAAATCAGAAACTGCAGATCTTAGAGCTAATACTCTATTGCTTAAGAAGAAGTATATATTTCCTGTGAATGTGGATGTAGAGCTACGCTTTGAAACACTCCAGTCCGACAAAAATGTCAAGGGACAGCTTCAGATCTATCGATCACCGGATAACTCTCTCCCCTGTCGGCCCCTCTGTCCCTTCTGTCCTTTCTGTCCCCGTCCTTCTTCTTTTCTCGTTGTCCAGAGTCCCCGTCGTCCAGGGTCCTCCATTGCCTTAGCATCAAAGGCAATCCGGACAGAGGGCGTTGACGTACTCCAGGTGCTCGTTGGCGTACTCGACGTTGCTCTTGGCTGGCGAGCAGGCGCGCTTGAACAGATCTCTGGCAGATCGGCGTCTGGTGCACGTCGCGAACTCGGACCACGGCGCCTCGCTCCAGGCAATGTGGTTGGCAGGGAACGCGGCCAGCTTGGGCTGCGAGCCGCCGGTGCCCATGTTTCCGTAGATATCGGAGCGGTAGAAGGGGTTGAGCTGCTCCTTACCCTCGACGCCGTTTTTGACCTGCGTCCAGCCGATGATCTGGTTGTCCTTGATGCCGCCAAGAGCGGCGAACTCCTTCTCCTGAGGGTACGGGTTGTACTTGCCGAGAGTAGCCTGGCAGTCGATCATGTTGGGGGCAGAGTGGATGCGATAGATGTAGCCGTTGTTGCCGAGGAACTGGCGGACCCAGGTGCGGGCGAGGTTTCTATCAGAGGTGGTCGAGACGTAGCCGTCTTCGTCTTTGCTGAAGCCGTTGTCGGCGCCGTTGACGTGGTTCCAGAGACTGGTATCAGGTGACACGACGCCAATGTTGGACTGTCCCTTGGCTAGGAAGCCTTTGGAGGCCTGGATGGTCGAAAAGGCTCTGGAGTCTGCCCTGTAGAGGTCGACAGCGGAGCCGAGGATTGACCAGAGGGAGAAGAGAAACAACCCGAATACAAAGGAGTATTGCCGAGCCATTTTAGATGGATAGCAATAGAGGACGACAGCGACGGATAACGGCAGATATGAGGATGATGGAGACGATATTGATATAACTACCACAGGGCCAAAAGAGAGTGCTCTTAACGAGTGTAGGATTGTGATGACGAGGCTGGTCGGCAACAAGACATGAATTGACGGGATAGTCGCCTAGGTTTTATCGTTTTACACATTTTCCATGCCACGCTGCTCTCTCACTCGAACTTGGGGTAGTCATCTGCTTCTCTCCTCAACAATACGCTTCTCTCACCGGAACTTTGGACTGCCAAAACCCCGTGCGCAAGATACCAGCTCAGGAGGTCTCACGTATCCATAACACCAAGTAAGTCAAGATACATCGTCATCAAGTGCCAAGCGGCCTTCGGTTTCGTCGGAACTCGAAATCAAAGTTGATGTTAGTTAAATTGTTCATGATTCATCCATTTGCCTAGGCCAAATACAGACGGCGATGAAGTTCATACTGCTCCGTGAGGCTGTGGATATTGAACACTAGAGGCCCACAAGAAGTTCAGATCATGCGTAAATTTCTTACACAAACGACGTATCAACCCCCAATAACGCAAGTCATAGATACCTGACAAGGATTCTGTGTGTTGTCCGGCTGAGAGCTCAACCGCCGAGTGGACGATTGTCTGATGAAGCTCTTGCGCAGTCTTGGCCGGGGCGGATAAAATGACGTTGAAAGTGTCCTACCCGGCAAGCCGGTGCCGGAGCGGATGTACGACGAACGACAACGCGAGAACGATCCACTTCGGTATCGCATGTCTCTCCGCGGACACGCGAGGTCTCCGGTCGTGTGGACGCAGCTACGAGATGGAGTTCAACTAGTGCATTACCGCTTTAGGAAGTTCTTGTGATCTAGCGGTCGGCGAGGCAGATAATCACTTATGTTTTAGTGATTATGCCTTAGTCAAGACCCTTATGCCATAACCCACTAGGTATCCAGTGTATTAACCACAAAGGTATAGAAACATCTGACAATCGCTACTCGGGATGGAATGTGGTCCATAATATATTCTAATTGAGTTTCAGCTAGGAAGATGGCAGTACAAATTTAAAGTTATATGCCATCCCGAAAGAGCCGAGCGGTGATCTGCGCCGGCTTCCACTGCACAGAGCCAGCCTTAAATGGGCAGAATTGTTGGTTTTATTGTTTCACATTAGCTGGCCAATACCGGAAAACGTGGCAAAAAAATATGCACCCGTGCTCCATCATCGGGCTTATAAGCTCCAACCTCCGATAATAATAGATTGCAGCAACACCGCAAGCTTCTGCCCATCACAATTCAACCTCCACCCAACTCCCATATTCCCAGCACACACAAACGCACAATGTTCCGATCTTTTCTCAATTCCATTTTCCCAGGCTCGCAAACCCCGCCAGAGTCCACAATCGCCAATTCTGCCTCCCCCGACGAGTCAGGTCAGCGAGTGACCGGCTCGACGTGGGAAGTCCACCCAATCAGTCATCCTGCAACCGCGCCGTGGCATCTCAACCTGTCGGACACAGACACCGACAAACTTATCAACGGATATCAGCCCGCGGCGATGGAGGATCGATGGATGTGCCGTTCGGATGGACCGGACGAACAAGGCGATATAGTGGTCCATGTGTACCGAAGTTGGACCGGCAACGAGCAGTTTCAGATGAAGGTGACTGCTTCCGGCCTCCGCGGGACCGCACTCCGCGGATCCGAAGCCAAGAATTCTGGTGAAAAGGATGCGGAGATTGCAGAGATCACATGGGATACCGGCAGTGGTGATACGCAAATGTCGGAGGAGGATGCGAAGAGCTTGGCGACGACGATTTGTAAAAGGGTGCTGGGATGTGAGCTCTAGAAGAATTCTTAGAAGAGGAACAGAAGTAGATGTCATCTGATTGCTGTGGAGTTGTCAATATGAAACTTTGTCTAGTTTTCGGAAAGAATGTCACAATGCGTAGCCAGCTATCTAGTCATCGTACACCGTACATCGTACTGCAACCACACCAAAGACCGTTGGGAAGTGGCGCCAAGAAATCATGCACAACCCCCAAGTCACATCCCGTCGGGTGTTACCTCTAAAATCCGCTTCCTTCAGCCTCAAATTGTGAGCGGGATGCGTCGGAGAGCGAGGCTCAGACCCATCAATAATGGACCAAAGTTAGAGTTCACTCAACTGCGGGTTGCTCTAGCTTAGTCTGTTCCACCTTCGGCTCCGTCATCCGGAACTCGTATTGACAGTTGACCCCGAAAGCGAACTGAATGACGAGGATCGTGATGATATCTTTGAACTCGAAAGTAATCGCGATGGCTGAGTTTGGTCTATAAGTAGGTTTGACATCCGCAAGACTACTTAGGCTATTACTCTCAGCATCAACTCATCTGCACTCGCTTCTGATCTATCACGTTCTTTTCAACATTCCAAACCCATAACTATCAAGGTATTCTATATTTCCAACGCACATGCCTGAAAAATACTAACTGGGCACGCAGATGCAGCTCTCTACTCTCATCCCAGTCGTCGCCCTCGGCATTTCTGCCATCAGCGCCGAGTACTGCACACAAGCTCTCGACCCCTACCCCCGCAAAGCCAGCACTGGTTTTCTGTTCGAGAGCGTAGATGCAAACAACTGGAAGTGGACGTCCAGAGACGTGCAGGTGGTCACCACCGTGAGCCCACAGGGCGGCAACTGCCAGATCCACCAGGGCGGCGGCGGCGGTGAATTCTCCGCCACTATCTGCATCGACGTACGTCCCCCATTGCCTGCGTCATGTTTGAGGTAATGCTGACTTGTTTCAACAGTTCAAGGGGAACTACGCCTGCTGGGTCGCACCGTCCAAGAACCAAGTGTGTGACATGGTCTTTGAGCAGGACGAAGCCCCTGTTGATGTTTGTGGAAACATCAAGAACATTTGGGGCTGGGTGGCTTAGGTGAGTGCCATGACTTCCGGAGAGTGACAACGTGATTGACAAATCAGTTTCCAGGCTACCAAATCTTTCCTTCTGCGCTGGCATATCATGAAATTTAGAGGACGATGGATCGTTGGTAGAAACGGTTTGGAAAGTATCTATCGGTGAATTAGGTTGCAAATGAAGTGATGTTAGTCTTGTTGTCTACTTTTTATGCATCTTCAAATCTTTTGCAGCAGCGATCTATCATCTATGTGGTGTGCTTTCAAGAAATATTTGCACTGCCACCATTCGTAGGATCAGAAATCCCAACTTTGATTCCGGTTTTTGAACTTACATAGCAGTGTTTTAACATATGGATGAATACTTTCACAAGTTTCAAGCTAATAGTTTCGAAAACAAAAAGGGACAAGGGACAATAAGAACGATAGAGACAATAGCTGCATAGCAATTGTAGAACCAATATGAGCAACAGAAACGATAGGGACGATAGAGACGACAGATAACAAGGAAAATAGAGATCACAGAGACGAAAAGAACGATAAGGACGACAGAGAAGATGATAGGGGAATTAGAATAATAAGAATAGCAATTAGTGTGGGTAACTTTGACAAGGCCAACACGAACAATATAGCTCAAATTAGACCGCGCTTTATCATCACGTATTGTAACATAGAAAGACTGTGGACCGGAATATAATTAACTAACCTAAAGAACAGCAGGTAGGTGGGCTCTTTCTAAAGCAATAAGATATCAGCTCCGAAATCCACAGCTTCTGAGTTAGCTACACGTCTGAAGTTCCCAGAATTAAAGGGCACGCGCGATATACACGAAGTAAAGCTCTCAGTACCATTCGATCTCGAGGTTCACAGTGCTTATTATTGAGAAAAGGGCGTATCTCCAAGATTTTGGTCTCTTTCTGCCACATCTGTTCTTCATCTAGTTGTTCCCTCTTCCATGTCTTCTACCTTCGGCTCTGTGCGGTTCCGCATACGTCCCGCAGCCCCCTTACGAACAGCATGACTCTCGCAGAACTTATTATTTAAGTCTGATAGATAATAGTTATTGTCTATAGCTCTTTCGATTGTCTCTAGTTAGTCTGAGCTCCTCCCTCCCCTTCCCCCTCAACTCTCTTCAACTCCACCCCAAAAGCGACAGGCACAACCTTCTCAACCCTCCCATCCTCCCCGTACACAAATTCAAAATGGTCAAGCGCCTTGTACCCGTACGTGATCCGGTCCACAGTCCCCCAGCTCAGGCAAGACGCGTTGGCATGGAACGCCTCCCTATCAATCGCCTCCCGCTGCTCCGGCGTGAAATAGTCAAACACAGCCCTCCACGCCTCCGTCTTCCCATCCCCAGACTTCAGCCCCGTGGGGTACACCCGCGCCGTCACGTTCGGGTTCGGCTCCATCCCTGTCTTGTTCAACCCCGTATGGCTGTACCTCCCCAAATTCGGCACAAACTCGAACCCCCTCACAACCCAGCCCTCCACCCGCACCCCCCACCCGCCGTCAATCCTCAACGTCACCGCCGATCCGGTCTCCGCATTTTCAAACCGGCCCGCCACGCGGCTCGCGGCCTCCTCCCGCGAAGCCTCGTCCAGCGCGCGCACGAGCCCCGGCAGCAGCGCCCACAGCTTCCACTTGTAATACGCCGGCACGACCGCCGAGATCTCGGGCCCGGCCGCGAGCACGGAGACGGTGAGGCCGTACTCGGGCAGCAGCGCGAGGCCGGCGTGGTAGTTGAAGATGTCGCCGGACTTGGCGTACATCTCGACGGGCCGCCCGCCCGTCAGGTTGGCCGAGAAGATGCCCTCCCACGGCTTGCCGACAAACTCGCCCGGCGCGGAGGTGAAGGTGGACGGCTTGAGCCAGCGGCGCGTCTTGGCTGGGGACAGCAGGCGGTGGCGGAGGATGGCGTCGCCGAAGCGGAGCATGTCGCGCGTCGTGGAGTACATCCCCCCAGCCCTGCTTCTCTGTAAGCCACACGATAACACTTCATGTTGACCAGTGTCGGGCAAAACTTACGGGGCAAAGACTCCCAGATCCCAGTCCCAGATGGTGTTGTTTTCAGGGATGAACAACGTCGACAAGTCCTCGGGGGAATGGGGGTACGTCGTGGAGGACATGCCCGCGGGGTCGAGGATGAGTTCCTGGAGGACCTGGCCGCCTCCACGACGAGCCCGACGATGGCTATTCCGGTGTTGGAGTAGACGGGCGTTTGGTAGGCTGGTTAGACTGGTGACCGGCGGCTCTTAAATACCTCGATGAAGTCTGTGGTATGGTAAGCCTCTCGTGCCTCCGATCGTTAAGAATAGAATCCCAACAAGTCACCCTCCATCGTGCAAGGCCGCTGTCCAAGGAACCCGCCACAGGCCGGCTTCTTCTCCAGCGGAGGCAATCCGAGAGCCTCCCAGTCACCCTCATACTGTCCCCGGTCCATCATCACTGCACCCCGTCAGCAAACTTCCCATCCCAAGCCCCAGGAAGTAGCGCCACTCACTATCGGCCCCAATCCCAGAAACATGCACCGCAACAGCTTCAACCGTAACCTCATCCCACTCGACCTCCAACCTAGTCAGCCCCCCCCCGCCGCGCCCTTCAGCGCCGGGAGGAACTTCGTAACCCGGTCGTCCCACCGCACCACATCATCCCTCTGCAGCGCCGCCAGCACCGTGAACACCTTACTAACGCTCGCAAGCCGGTATACGGTGTCCTTACCCACGGCCTGCGCGCCGCGGGCATCGCGTCGCGGCGGGGTGTGGTGGAAGTCGAGCAGGGGCTCGTCCTCGAGGGCGGACTTGATCCCGATCGACACGGCCGAGGTTGCGAACCCGGCCGCTTCCTCCTCGAGAGAGGCGAGAAAGGTCGCGACGGCGCGTTGGACCGCCGGGTGGGCCGACGGGTTGCGCGCCGCGGGCAGGACGGGGCCGAGGGGCGGACAGGTGTAGGATGCTGCGGCTGCGAGGGGGATGAGGGCTGAGGGGAGGAGTAGGAGGCGCATTATGGCTGTTAGACTATATGATTGCATATGTCCTTTTCGTCATTGATTCAGTTTAAATTGGTTTCTGCGACGACGAGATTGGAGAAATATTTAACATACCCCTCGATCAAGGATGAAAAGACATGCTTTAAACAGCCGCAGAGCTTCACTTCTCGTAATAAGAAATGAGTCAACCATTCGCAATGCGTGCGACTACCCCAGTCGAGATTCGGGTCATTCTTACATATCTCACCTTCCAATCCCAGCTTGGCGTCATCTGGCAAAAGATCCAAATCCGCGAATTCGAATCGCCCTGTATTCGCACAAATCACCCAACCCAGCGACCACAATCAAGGGCCAAGAAGGTAAAAAGAGACGTCTCCTCTGTCCTCGGACTCACACTACTACATTGTTAATCCATTTGTGTAGCGAACACCCCCTCACTCTCGGGTCAGCAACGCGAATCACTTGCGAGTGCTCCCCAGCAAACTTGCACCTGTAGCGCAGGAACTGATCTGGCGTGGCTTATGCAGTACCAAAGTACCTTATCCCTCGTAGCCTATGCCATGCTAATTTGTAAGAACTACTCTGAATTGACAGTATCCCGCCTAAGGTACGGTGGTGCATCTTGCGTGCTTACGATGACGTTGGCTGACGCGACAACATCTATCGCACTTGTGCCAGCACCTTCCCTCCAAAGCTTTCACATGGACTCTCACAGTGGGTTGAAGGAAAGAAGAAAATTAAATGGTGCATAAACATTGTGAGCGGTCGGTCACAGACACACGCAAAAAGGCATCGAATTGACGTGGGAATCGTTATAATTCTCATCCGATGAAAACAAAGGTGATCTCGCACCCCTATATCGCGAGAGATCCCTCTAGACAAAGAACAACATTGAAGAAAGTCTGTTCCCCACAGCCGTGGCCTCAGAAACTTCTAACTGCCTTCCTTTCCAAAGCGTCAGAAAATGGGAAGAAAAAGGAGAAGAAAATAAAAACAGAAAAAGCTTTCTTAACTCTCTCTCAGCCACCCACACGCCTTCCTAAAACGCCTTGCGGTCCGCGCATCCTAATCCTTCATTGGCTCTCATGCTCACGTCCCGATATCGCGGGGCCAAATAAAAGCTAGTTGTAAAAACGTGCAGAATAAACACATGGCCCCTAGGCCCAAAAGGACTCTAGATGGATTTTGCCCCTGGCAATATCTATCCAACCCCGAAAAAAAATAGGGGTGCTGGGCCCCCAACTTCCTCCTCGTCATTCGTCCCATCCAAAGGCGCCCATCCATCTCATGTCAGACCTTACTTCTCCATGTGTCCATCGTTGAGAAGCATCTCCAAGACAATCTGCACGCCATGTTGCTCAGGATGGCTCATGGAAATCTTGACCGTGCCCTTGGAGTCTTCTCCCGCCGGCGTTTGGCCGCCGAGCCAGTTGTTCTGCTGGTTGTTTGTCGCGTTGCCGCCCGTCGGGCCTCTAACACCGAAGTCGAGGCAGCGAACATCGCGGCCAGCAATGATCTGTCTGAGGCGACCGTTTTCGGCGTTGCGCACCTCCACGTAATCTCCGTTGAAGAGGAGCAGGTACTGTCCGTACATTGTCGCACTCGTAGCCTTCTTCTGCTTGCCCGAGTACTCCATGATGAGAGTGCGGCTCACATCGCCGTGCTTGTCGACGTAGACCGCGCAGTCCTCATATGCCAATAGGAATTCCTGGTCGTTCAACTTGAACATGCCGAGTGGCCTTTGGTCTCTAATTCTGCTGGCGATGTTGGCAATCGCTGGTTGCTTCAGGTCGGGGATCGACATCGTTTGTTTCTTGTCCAGAGTGAGCAACTCGAAGCCCTTCGCAGTAGACACCGCGATGTAGCTCTGGAAGAGGTTTAGAGAGTAGCACTCTGTCGGCAAGTAGAACTCGTCATAGTCGCGGAACGAGTCGGTACTGCCCTTGATGCCTCTGTGCCCACCAAACAGCCGCGATCTCTTCTCCGAGGCTTTCTGGAATACTGGCTCAAGCACCTTGAAGGTGTTGTGCATACCCTCTCTTCGCTTGAAGAACACGAGCATACGCTCCTTCATGCGAGCCGTGGCGAAGAATGCCACGTCCTTGGCCAGCCTCTGAGGGGCCCGCCTAGGGTTGTCGTGAGCGGGAGCAGGGAAGTTTGATACTGGCGCAATCACATCCAGCGGATACGCAATCAGGGATCGGTCTGCAATGATGAGGCAAACCGAAAACTCCTCAAGCACTGCTATTTGAGTGACCCTCGAGGTTTGTACGCTCTGCGTATCGTTAGCATCGGTATCTCAAGAATTGCGACAAGCTTTACTTACCCTCATCCATCCGCGGGGATTTGTCGCGTCAGAGATATACACGCCGTAGTCTGTTCCGATGGCAATGATGGACTTGCCGAATGCGTTGAACCCACAAGCACAGTTAACCTGCGCTCGACACACCGGAGCGGGCCCCCTGCCGGGTCCGTAGACCTCCTCAATCTCACGGACGGCGCGATCGAGCGGGGTACCCCGGATCGGAACGCCTGGTTGCCTTCCGACAGCAGACGCCGCATCATATACGAAGGCGCTGTCGGCGAGCACTCGAAGGCGGAAGGGCTCAGCGTTCTGCGAGAATAGCGCCTTGGCGTGGCGTGTCTTTGCCTCGATAATCTTCTCAACCCATTCCGCTCGGGCCTGTGACGATGTAGCGTAGAGGGTGTAGGTCTCGTGACCGAGATGCTTGATCTTGAAGGGGTAGAGGATTTTGCCTTCGGGGTCGGTGGACAAGGATGGCGTGAGTCTTGCGGTAGAGGTCGAACCGATTGATGAGCTCGTAGCAACATGCTCCAGGCCCGGGCGCTCAGTACCGTTAGACGTGATCTTGTTGAGCCTGGGATCTGATCCTCCTGCGCCAACTCCGGTCCGGGCCAGGGGTGCTGTGATACCTTTTTGCTTGGAGATGGGATCGTCGTTCATCGTATCCAGGAACAGCAGAGGCATTGGGATTGGTTCCTTTGACACATCGTACTTCTTCTCACCCCTGCCGTCCTTGGGGCTGACTACCTTGGCAAGGATGAAGTAATGGTCAAACAGCAGCGCGTGCGTGTCGACCCATCTGACACCCTTGGAGCCCATTCTTTGCAAATCGCCCTGCTTAATAAGCTCTCTGCCCAGATGGTCAAGGTTGAGGACTGAATGAAAGCCGGGTCTCAGGACGAGCATGGAATTGAGCTCCATCATCTCGACCTTCTTCTGCATCTCCGCGACCTTGGTGTCACACTCCATGGTAACGTTGCGGATTTCTGCGATTGCCCTTGCGAGATTCGCCTTCTCCTCATCATCGCGAATGGACTTCTTCTCAACGGTCTCGAGGAGCAAAGAGTATCTTTGCAGACGAGTGATCGGGGTCTTGAGGAAATGCTGCCAGCCTAGACGCTCAGAGCGCTTGTGCTTTTGTACTTGATCAAGGAAGTTGCGGAAGAGAAGGTTACGATCAGACTCTTTCCGCACCATGTACTCAGCATAAGGGAACTGAGACGCGTAGTCAATGTACACATCGCGAGCCTTTCGGATCCATTCGCGGAAGAGGTCCGAAAAGCCTGTAATCCATGGGCCCTGCTCTTGCTGTCGGTACTTCAGTTGCGCAAGGAGATTATCCTTGTTGACAATTTGGACAGCGTCCGCCTTTCCGAACACAACTTGAAGGAACTTATCAATCTTGTTGGGAGGAATGATGGGCGGTTGACTGTTGCGTAGGTGGTCCCTGTAGAGGACGCGAAGGACCTCGAGTTGGTTGACGAACAACTCCTCGCTGTTGACGATCTCGTGAAGGACGTGTTGGCGCTCAACCTCTTTCTTCGGCTTCTCTGCCATGTCCGCTTCCTGAACTTTGTAATGGACGTTCCAGTCAATAGCCTTGACCTCTTCGAGCAGCACCTCGTCCAAATTGGCCTTTTTCAATGTCCTCATGCAGTGGTACGAATAGCACCGGCCGCTTTGAGATTCATCGTCATGCAGCTTGGACGCGTAGCAGCCGGTGCCCGTCAACTGGGGCAAGACTCCGGAAATCTGCCCAGTTCCAAACTTGACCCACTCTTCCTCCGGAACCAAGACACCAGCGTCCAGCATCAGCTGGGAGACGAGCGTGCTCAGAAGCTCAGCATCAGCCACGTTAATCGTAGGAACCTTGGCTGTGAAGAGCTTCAGCAACGCTTCCTCGACCGACTTTTGCTTCAAGTCCGGTTCGCCGTCGGCCATTTCCCGGATCCAGTTTGCGATTCCGCTCAGGGCCCACGGTTCTGTACACCTCTTGATGTCGCCCGATGTCAACTTGGACGGAACAAATTTCCTCTTTCGGCCGCTTGGTAGTGTGATCATATCGTATGCCATCGAAGAAGGTGTTCCGGTATCTGAGTAGGCATCGTAAGGTAGTCCTTGCTGTGCGGCAAGCTGCTGCTGCTGCATTTGGTGTCTAGCCATCTTCCTCCGCTCTTCAGCCGCGTCGGTTCGTGATCGGGTCGGCGCCTGCACCTGAGGGGTATGGCTGTGGCTTGACAGGGAAATGGACCGCTCAGGGAATGGTGATTGTAGAGAGTTGACTGTTGTCGTGCTCTGTTGGTAGTAGTCGGAGCCGTCGTTGTAGAGCGTGCGGGAATCGGTGCTGAGAGAGTGGGAATGGTAGCTGCGAGTGGTTTGCTGTACGGATAGCAAAGAGCTTGTATCGCTACCCGGGCCTGGCGGCAGCGCTGGAAGTGGCCTGTTCGTAAGTCCGGGATGGTAGAAAATGTCGGGGTAGTCTTCCTTGTACGGAGACTCGCTACCGCTCTGCTTGGAGTTGAGTGATACCCGTTCATCGCCCTCGTCGAAGCTTAGACGGTGAGTAGTCGGGGCTTGCAGGCCGCCAGTGCCACCATAGTCGACTTCGGCCTGTCTGAAAGCGGGCGCTTGAGAGTAGTCGTTCGGGTTGGGCAGCGGCCTTGATCCATCTCGGGGCGGTGATCCCATTTCGTCGCCGTACGCCAAGTTT